ACTGAGGCACAGAGCTAGTCAGCTGCTTGGTTGTTCAGAGGCAATAGTGGGATGGGTCCTGCCAGCTGCATGAAAGCAACTACAGGCATCTTTAGTTCCACCATGCATACCAATTTCATTTCAAAATATGATTTTTCTGGGAGAAAGAGCCTTTTTCCAGCTCTGCTCCCAGCAAAATGCCCAATTCATTCCACTCTGCCAGCCTTGGCAGGCTGGTCTGGTGCCGAACACCTCATGGGCAGGGTGGACAGGGGACAGAGACCGTCTCACCAGAAAAGACCAATGCTCAGTCTAACCCAGGACTAGAGGTTACCACAGACCCCATCCCTCCTCTGACCTCAGGGGCCATGTTCCCAGTGAGATGCTTCTGAGGTCCAGTAACCACCAAGTGACCAGCAGTGACCCAGATTTACGTTGTCAGGGCACTGAGGCACATGGTTAGCCAGGATCCCTAAACCCTGCATGGAGAGATGAGGGTTCTTTGCAAAGGCAGTTTCAATGTGGGAGCAAGCACCATCCCTGGAGGTGTTCAAGAAACGACCGGATGTGGCACTCAGTACTCTGGTTTAGTTGGCCTGGTGATGTTCGGTCAAAGGTTGGCCTCAATGATCTTGGAGATCTTTCCCAACCTTAATGATTCTGTGGTTCTAAGCCTGTGCACCGGAGAGGGTTCAGCCCTAGCCCCACCAGTCCCTGGGACCTACACTCACTGCCTTACCCGTCCACACTGTGAATGGGGCTGCTGGTGGAGACAGGGCTGGGAGCAGTGAAAGAGTTGGAGAAGGTGCCATTCCTGGTGGGCATCTCTGGCGCCCCAGGCTGGGTGGCAGGCAGGCTCCCTCCCATGCCCGTCGTGGCCGTGCGGGCCACCGACTCAACATAGCTCCTGGGTTCTGCAGCAAAAGAGAAGGGGAAATGGATAAGCCCACAGCCTACATGGGAATGGCGCCATGCCCTTCCCAGCATCTGCACTGCAAGCTAGTGAAGGTACTTGAGCTGAGTTCCTCCAGCTGTGTATTTCCTTCATTCCCTCTTCCACCAGGGGTTGCACGAAAATGCGTCTGGCTCATCTGGACCTTTAGGTTGCTTCAATAATGCTGAAGATCCCAGCCAGGGCACAGGGAGAGGGGATCATGCCCATCCCTTTCCCTGAGTGGACAGGAGCATGGGACCACAATCCCCTCCCATGTCACAGCCACTCCACACTCCTCTGAGTCAGTGCCCCTCCCACCCAGGATGCCACACATAACATGTCATGCTCCCTGCTCATCCCCAGCCCCTAAAAATAGAGCTGGTGACTCTGCCCAGCCAGCGCTGACTCACGCGGGACTGATGACTACGTCCCTGCTCTCCACGGCCCACCTCTGCCAGCCATCTCCAGCAGCAGACCAGAGGGCAGATCCAGCTATTTCCACTGCAGCATCCAACACTCTCACTCCCAGCCCAGCTTGAAACCAGAGCCCCCAAGCACGACCAAGAAAAGCAATTTTCCTTTGGAGCCGCCAAGCTGTCCCGTGCCAGGAGCAGGAGACTGAGCTGGTCATCACCAACCATGGCAGACACCAGACCCAGCCCTCTCTCATACCCTTCCTCCTGTTTCCTGCTCTGTCCAGGCTGGTACCCATCCCTACAACAGCCCATACAGCCCCCACCCCACCACAAAAGCCACAGCTTCAGCCCCATTCTCCCACGGCTCTCAGCTGGCACACACCGTGTGAGACACAGTGGCATCAAATGGCCTTGCAGGTCCCCAGCTCCAGGCTGGCCATGCCTGAGGCAGCTCCACAGTAGTAATTAGCATGACAAACATTATTATTATTACTATTAGTCATAACAGCCTGGGCTCCAGCTAAGCCTGCTGGCAATCTGGCCTGCTCACAGCCAGCAACACTAATGCACAGCTCCATGTTCAGTGCCAGAGCAGGGACATGCAAAGTAAAAGACTGTCATCGGTCCCCCTCCTTTTCCCACAGCATCTCTGTGCCTCATCTGCTTGCAGAGAGGGGAGGAGGAGTCCACCCCTTGGGCTGATTTCCCTGCACACCCCTTCTCAACTACCCCAGGAACGATCTGAGTCAAAACCAGATGATGGACCTCAACATGGGCTGGGTACTGGCATCCAAGGCAGGACATGTGGCCCTGCGTGACAGGGATGAGCCACTGCCCAGGAGAACGCCCAGGGCAGCTGCAAGAAACTCATCACAGCTTAGGTAATTAAATTAATTTCACAGCTACTCACATTCCATCCCCGAGAGCTCCCCAGCCCAGACTAAAATTAGCCAGACAGTACATATGAGTCAGCCTGCAAGAGGTTAAGACCAAAGGGTTGTGAAAATGCCAGGCCCTCCTGCAAAGGTGGGGGCTGAAGCAGGCAGGAGCAGGGGACTCAGGGAGCGAGGACAGCGTAGGTATGTCACAGCGAGGTGTGTGACCATGGGCATGGGCTCCAGTCATTGGGTTCAATATGGGGAAAAAAAGAATAAAACAAAAAAAAAAAAGCTAAGAAGTTTCAGGCAGGATTTTTTAGGTTGAAAAATCTGATCTTGCCTCCATGTGTTTTCTTGGAAGGGACTCTGGAGATGGAAAGATGGGTGAGAGAATAGAGAGGCTATGAGTCACCAGGGAGGTGGGTAGTCATTCAGGAATCCTGAATCCCAGCAGGACTGCGCTCCGGCCAGAAATCCCCAGCGCTGCATCTCTACCAGGCTGTTTTAAAGCCTCCTCAGAGGTGGCAGCCACGGCCCCAGCTCCTGCGCTGCCAGAGCATCCCTTGGCCCCATGTGCAGACTGGCCATGTGGGCTGGATTCTGCTGAGCAGAGCAGAGGGGCAGAGATCCTCCTGGGCTGTATGGCTGGGTGTAGAGGGCCCTAATCCAGAACTTTGTTAAGCTAGAACACCAGTCCCTTCTCAGAACTGTAGATTCAACCCCAAAAAACATTTTATCAGAGAGGATGAAGCAGGACAAGAGGCTCATAGTGGCCACTCAGCCCAGGCAGTGCAGGGTCACTAGACAACCTTGCTTGGGGGTTAACCATCGTGCAAGGGAACAGAGAAACAGCACAGCTTGAGCTCCAGAGGGTTTGGTGGGAAGGAGAGAAGAGGCAATGTTTGGGTCTTTGGAGGCTTAAAGCCAGACAGAAATGGTAAAGTTTGGGGAGATTTAGGAGGTAAAAGCCTAGTTTTACCCCGGCTTTCTTCCTTTAATGTATCCAAGAAGCCATCACTGAAAAATCAGTTCTGGAAACAGAACTTCTTTTTCACGCAAACACTTTCACTAGTAACACACAATGTTCACATTTGGGTTGTGTGCATTTTGAGGAACTTCCAAGGAGAAATGCTGACGGTTCCCGAGGCCACAGGAAGCACCACACTCACCAAAAAGAGACATCATCTCCCCAAAACCCACCCTGAACACACAGTTCCTCATCCCAGCCCTGAGTGCCCATAAATTCATTAAAGAAGAAAGTAAAATAACCAAACAACCGTTATATGGCAGGCGGCACTCCAGGGAATCACAGCCACTCCCAAAACCTCCATCCCTCCAGGAGACGTGCCACCCCAGAGCCTACAGTGCCTTCCCCATCAGCACAGCCACTCCTGAGCTGACATCCCAGCTCGGTCCCACCCTTGGCATCCCCAAAGCTAGGAGACAGAAGAGATGGGGGAAATTTGAGCAGCTGCCCAGCCAGCAGAGGATGTGCACTGGCTGCCGGCACTATGCCGCTGCCTGGTCGGCTGAGCCGGCAACACGCTGGTGGCCTCTGCGCCTGCTGACCTTTTGTGCTGCACTTTTTGGTTTATTTTCACTCTGAACAGCAACAGCAAAGCCAGAAGCAGAGGGCAGGAGCCTAAAACTGGGGCTGCTGATCCCAGGCCCCCCCACCAGGCTTATCCGAAGCTGGCCACAGAGTGCCAACATCCTCAGTGTGACATCAGTAAGGATGCCATGAACTGACAAAGAGCTCTCAGTCCCCATGGACAATTGCCACCCAATGTGACAGCACTCCAGGTCCAACTTGAACATTGGGAAATCCAACCATGACACAAGGAATCATGTGCCCTTCCTTGAAATGGAGCAGGACAGGCAAGACTCAGACTCCTACAAGGCTGCTGGCACAGACACTAGAGCCTGCTCTGAGCGTGGTCCCAACAGTGAGGCTGAACGGGGGAGAGAGAGAGAGAGAGAGAGAGAAAGAAAAGCCTTTCTTACCTTCTTCAGCGTCACCGCCTGCTTCCCCTTCTAGCTCTGAGAGATGGAGGGGCAGGGGAGTGATGGGAGGGGGAAGAGGAGCAAGAAGGGAGGTGCGAAAGAGAAATCAGAGTTGAGCAGCTTTGCCTTGCTCAAGCAGGAGCACACAGAGCACAGAGGAGAGCCCCACACCTCCCCAGCATAGCACTCCAAACTGGATCTCCAGCCTCAGATATCCCCAGGGTTCACCTCAGTATCTCAGATATAATGTCCAAAACCCAGCAGGAGGGCTTCAGGTGGGGAAGAAGGAACAATGCAGCAGAGAGCAACCGAAGAGCTGCTCCAACAAGCCCAGCAAGTACCAAAAAAGCATCAGCTTGTCATTGGGGGCAGATCAAGAAGGCTCTTGCTGGGTGAGCTCAACCAAGCTGTGTCCTTCAGGCTCAGATGGGTTTTGGGGAAGTTACACTCAGCCCTGAGACAGCCCAGAAAGGGGCCCTGGGTGCCGGGAAGCAGCAAGGTCTGGCTTGGCAGGCTACTCTGGGACACGTCCCCAGGACAGTGGGGCCATTGCACTCAGGGACTGCTCTCCAGGATGGACAGAGCTCTGGATACTGTTCTGGCTGACAGCCTCAGCTCCCAGAGAACAAACTGTTTCCAGCTGTGCTAAGGAGGAGAAAAAATGGAGGGGGTGAGATAGGGAAGAACACGGGGCAGGACAGGAAACAGGACCACAGGGTTGTCTAGCCTTCACCACTGAAGACCCTGCTGTGCTGAGCCCCCCAGGGCAGCATCAACACACCCCCACCCTTACACAGTCCCAGAGTCCCCACAAACATGACAAGGACCCCCAGGGCCACCTGGCCTGAGAAAGGGAGGCAGAAGTGCCTTCTCCAGACAGGAGAAACTTCCAGGAGTATCCTCACAGACGTGCCCACAAAAAAACCTGCCTGCAGTCCCCATGCCCACACTCACCTCCTACTGGATGCAGTAGGATCTCAGCTGGATTGTGAGGTTTCAGCCCCAGCGCAGACAGCGGGGTCTTGGCCAGGCCGGGAGGAGAACGCACTGTTGGCACAGGGGACACAAAAACGTTAGTGGAGGGGTGGAAGCTAAACCTTCAGAAAGGCTTAAGTTGCCCAGGGGTTCAGAGCCCCCATGATTCATCCTACAGACCTACTGGCTGCAAAGGAGGTCTGCTGGGAAGAAGAGATGCCCTTGTATGAAGCAACACCCTGGGGAAGGACACTGATCCCCTCTCCATTTGGGAGATGGCACAGGGCAGGGGGTGACTGGGAACAAACATCCTGTCCCATCACGGGGCTGTCAGGATGGAGAAAGGGGACAATTCCCACCAGGACAGGCCTACATGCTATATCCCAGCACTGTCCCCATAAAGTCCCACCATAAAGGCATGAAGGCTCTTTCATTCTCCCTGTGTGAGCAGCCATCTGCCAATCCAGCTCTCCCACACCTTAACTCCTCTCTGCCAAACCCCACATCTGGATTAGCCAGGACCTGGCTGTCCCAGAGCAGCTCATCACCTCCACAAAAGGGACCACAGGTCTACCAAATCCCCCCTGCTCTCCAGACCAGTTTGATGGGTGGGTGAGGATGTTCACACAGAAGGGTCACACACCTTCTGTGTGAGGTCTGCATCCCTGTGCCCATATGTACATACCAGGAGGAGCTGCATATGTACATATGGCTACGGTATGATGGTGGTGGGGTTTCATGGGGCAGAGCAGACCTCCCCAAGCAGACTGCACCCCCCTCTCCCCTCCTACACTGCTGAGTTTACCCAATCTCCTCACTACAGCATTTTCTCACACCAGGGGAAACCTCGGGGTATCACCTTCAGCAAGAGAGACCAGAGGGCATGAGCCTCCGGCAGTGTATGAACACCCCCGACTGGTGGCACAAGCACAGGCCCCCCCAGTGAGGCCGGGAGGCAGGGGGGGTGGGAGCTCCAGAAGAAAGCCAAGACTCCTGCCCTGAGGACAGGTCTCCCCAGCAGCCTGGGGCTGGAGCAGCCAAGCAGCCAAGTCCCTGGGAAACCAAGACAGCAGCACCTTCCCCAGTGGGTGTCTGATTTCCCCAAATCCAGTTGACCACGAGCCACAATGTCAGCTCACACCTCCATTGGCTGATGATGAGGAGCAGGGTTCTCCAGGGCCAGGAATTCTCCCAGCACCACCATCTTCCCCTACACACACACACACACACACACACACACACACACACACACAGAAGCAGAATCACTCCTATATCCCCTGGAGGCACTTTGGCAAAGCCCACAAGCTGCAGCTTCAAACTTCCCAGGCTTCCCTGGCTCATGCTGGATAAGCAGCGCTGCCTCTGGGCCACGACCCCAGCCAGGCTGTTCCCGTCACCTCTACAAGTGACTCATCCCCCAAAGCCACTGTTCCACTGCCAAAGGAGCTGCTGCTGCCCCACGGCCAAGCTCTCTTGTCCCCAGGAACAACAGGGCCATTTCCGAGCTGCCAAGCGCCCCGGGGACGCTCCCACACTCCAGTCACTGCATCCATGAGACAGGGCTCAAACATCAGAGGGCTGCAGGGAAGGAAGTGCAACAGTGCAGAATAAAACAGCCCTGATCCCCATGGGCTCAGCTATGGGGAGCAGGTGGCCCCATCACAACCAGGACATGGCATCAGAAGGGGCTGTGCTCAGCCCAAGCACCCCCAGCCCTAGAGCATCCCTCAGCCTTCAGCCTGCAAAAGCATTTTGGGGGGGGGGCTGCTGTCTTTTCCATGGGTTTCCCAGTTTAGTGGCTGCTCCATTGCACTGGTCCAGCCTGAATCACATTGTGACAACATGAGGCTGCTCATCGGGGTTTGTCGCTCAAGCTGGTCACACAAACCCAGTCCACACAAACCCACAGCAACTGTAGTCAGGGTTAGTCAGAAAGCAAGCATGCCACGCTGGAGGAGTGGAGACAAACTGCATGCAAAGGGCACACATCCTAGCCTTTTCCCTCTCCTGCCCTTGAAACAGTGAGCAAGAAGTGGCATGGTGTGTGGGAGTTTGCCCTCCTGATCTTCAGTCCCTCCTGCCTCCCTCCTGCTAGCAGTCTTGCTTCCCTTCTTGCCATGCCAGCAGGAAAGATGGGGTGACGCAGGACCAAGATGGGTGAAAGCATGCCTCTCTCCTCATCCCACCTTGGTGATCCCATCCAAACACCCCAGTGAGTGGAGGGTGGGGAAAAGCATGGGAGGGTACCAAGCATGGGATGCTGAAGGAAGTGGGATGCTGCAGCAGCATGGAATGGTGGGATGTGGAGGAGAGAGGAGGATGGAGAGGTGGAGTGATTAACATGGCAGTGGGTGTCTGGAGCCTGGAGCTGTCTGACCCTTGGCGAATTTCTGGCTTGCTGAGAGCCACCCACCAAGCCCCTCTGCCTCCCGGAGCCACGGCACTTACAGGTGTTGGAGTAAGGGGTTTGTGGTGAGACGGGGAAGGCTGGGGTGGGGGGAGAAATCTCACCGCCGCGGTGGGGGGAAAATCCTCACCGCCGCTGGAGGGTGGGCTGGGCTGGGAGGTACCCTCTATCTCTTCGAAGGCTTCCTTGTAGCTGTGGAGGTGAGGCTGGGGAGAGCAGGAGAAAAAGGTCAGTCCCGTCCCTATGATAGGCATAAACCTCCAGGATAGCCTGAAGAGGTGCCAGAGGGGGCAAAGGGAAGGGTTTCACTTCTTCCCTGCTAACCACCACCACCACCACCACCACAAAAAGCATCCGAGGTACCCTCTATCTCTTCGAAGGCTTCCTTGTAGCTGTGGAGGTGAGGCTGGGGAGAGCAGGAGAAAAAGGTCAGTCCCGTCCCTATGATAGGCATAAACCTCCAGGATAGCCTGAAGAGGTGCCAGAGGGGGCAAAGGGAAGGGTTTCACTTCTTCCCTGCTAACCACCACCACCACCACCACCACAAAAAGCATCCCCCTCCCTGCAGGCACCTGCCCCAAATCAGTCACACCCCCACCCCAGGGCTCCCCCACCCTAGCACACCTCTTTGGGCCTCCCTCCAGGGTTGGCTGCAATGGTGCTGACCACCTCAGGTGAGAGGACGGTGGGGCTGCGGGGTGAGCTCGGCTCTGGCGAACTCTTCTCATAGTGACTGTCGCTAGGCGTCTGCTTGCGGGCAGGGACAGCACACTCCTCCAGGGGCTTCTCTCGGGACTGCACCCCTGCAGGACAAGCACAGGGTGAGAGATGGGTGAGGAGCTGCCAGCTGAGATGGGGATGAGGAGAAGATGCTCCCAGACTGATCTGAGAGGTCCCCCCAGAGTTGTGTGCCATGGAGGGGGCTCTACCCAGCAGAGGTAGCAGCTTCAGCAGCTTCAGGACTCACCTGCATCTAACCCTCAGACCAGCATGGCCAGTTTTGAGCTGGAGTAGATATACCCCACAGTAGTGGCCCAGAAACAGGCAATAAAGCAAGGCAGAGTTGTGGCTAGTGGCTGAATTGCTGCACTAGCCCTCCCAAGCACCATTAGACTCTCAGGGACAACAACCTCCAGCAGTAGGTGCAAGGGGCAAGAGCATCCTGTGATCATACCAGGCAGCCTGGCCCTGCAGAGCTGAGGAGGACCGGAATCTCCAGACAGCATCACAGCAGGAAAAGACCAAATCCCCCAGCACCAGAACAGCTGTGTTCAGCTGCACCCCTGTTCCCGCAGTCAGTGGAAAAAGCCTAGTTTTGTTGAGTCCCCAAGGCAGAGGGAGAGCTGGGCTGAGAGTAAAGACCCTAACAGAGAGAGGGATGGTACAGGCACTCCAACAAACCACTGCTGCTTTCCTGTCCCCAGTACAAAGTCTTTCTAAAAAGGGAGATTGGCACCTCCTCTCCATCTCCCCCTGAACCTCCTTCCCAGACCTCAGCAGTATGAGCCACTGATGTCCACAGCCTGGGTGGAAAAACAGAGAGTGCAAATCACCACAGGAGAATGAGTTTCTTCAACTGTAGGCTCTGGTAGATCCCAATAGTTATCCCTGTTGGCTGGGATAAAGCCCAGGAACAGGGACAAAGTTGGCACAAGGCAGAGGAGTTCAACTCTCCCAGGACTTGACAGGGCCCAAACACATTCTCTACTCTACCTCGCCCAGTGAAGAGGCTAATCAGGGCTCCTGGACGATGGTGCCGGGTTCAGGGCCTGGGAAGCCCACAGAGCATCATGGGCACAGCTCAGAGCCCCATGGGACTCCTGCTTCTCCCTGGGACTCACTCATCCCCACTAGCCGAAGTGACAGCACCATCCCTTTCACCTTTCCCGCAGACCCACTCATGCTCCCCTTGGCCATCACATAGGGAAGAAAAACAGAGAAAAAGGAGGAGGAAAAAAAAAAGAGAGAGGCCAGCATCATGCTCCAGGAAATGCACTTCTCAAACACCAACTCCTTTCCCACGGGCTGGTGGAGGAAAACCAGCCATCAGCTGC